AATAGAGAAAAATGTGTTGTAAGAGTCAAGTCTAGAAGAAATAAAAGCATGAATGACCTTTTCTAAGTCTGCAGAGGAAATGAATGACCTGATCTTGGTTAGCTGTCTCAGTTGAGCAAAGCAGGCCTGCACTACTTTAGTCACCTGAGCATCGAAAGACAACTCTGAATCAAAAATAACTCCTAGGTTCCAGGTCTCTTTTCAGACATTATTAGATAAGGCACCCAGACTAGAGGAGAGATTATTAATGCTGCTAGTGCTCAGGCCAGAGGGGGTAGATATAAATATATCTATGGACATCCCATTTTTTATTTCAGCAAGGTAGGATATGGGTGTCATATGCATAGCAATGAAAATCAATGTCATGTTTAATTTGTCCCGGGGGTAGCATGCACTATGGTTAACAGAATGGGACCCAAAATAGATCCTTGGGGGACCCCAAGAAATAGAGAAGCACAAGAAGACGAGGCATCTCCAAGCATTATAGAGATGGACCTGTTCAACAGAAAGGAGATTAACCAATTCACCGCCACATCACTGATGTCATAGTTCTTCAGAAGGCTGATTAAGACATTATGGTCTACTGTGTCATAGTTCATAGTACTGTGTCATGTCAGATAGAAATGTTTAAAATATTTTATTGTTATTCAGAAAAGAAATCAGTTTAGTGGAGACAGTACTCCCCTAATATTTAATTCAATCTCCCAATTATATTATGCCTGATATATTAGTATTATATAAAATAAATTTGATTTGTAGCCAGTTAATACATACTAGCATGATTGGCACATATTTATTTTTGAATGTAAAAGCAACTACTTACTACTTTTTAAAGTGTTTTTATGTGTTTGATATAACAGCTTTACAATGGTAACCACATAGTTTTAAAAAAAACTTAGGGTTTGTAAGTAATAACAAAAGAATCAGCACTTGAGCTCATTTCATGTTATCCATGGTAATATGAAGAGTGTGAATGTTTCAACAGCTATGAAGCTGAATATTTATTTATGCAAATAAAAAATGTTGCAGCTAAGCCTTCAGCCTACATAGCAGAGCATTTCATGAGAATGAAACTGCTGCTATTGAATGATTGCAATTTATTCATTTAGCAAGACAAAAACTAAAATAGTCAAGAAATACAGTTCCCCAAGTGAGAAAATGTATTTTAGGTTAATCCTCTGGTACGTGTCACATTTACAGTTTGTTTGAGTGTTATAACGTCAAAGACATAACGCTAAGAAACAATGACGAATAATTAGCTGGTTCAAAACCATTTTGATAAACTTTGCATGCATCAAAGAGGTTGTCTCCTTTGACAGTTTCACAAAAAGAAATTAAGCTGAAGTGAGGAAGAAAAAAAAGTGAGGGAAACTTAGCGGGCTTGTGGCAAATGATCAAAAGACCATCAGAAACATCTAAGGCCTGTTGTTGAAGTGTGAACTAAGAGAGTGAAACTGTGACAGAACGTTTAGGATCTGCTTTATCCTATTCTACTATATGGGTGGTCTCAAATTCAAAGACTCAAATTGGCCTCTGGCCAGTGCTGGTATTATATATCCTACTGTAGGAGGGCCACTTCAACATTCAAGTACTCTAAGAAAGCCCAATATTCTGAAAATATTTCCATTACTAACATCATATTAACAAAAAAAACATTTACAGGCTTTTTAATATAGAATTGTGTTTTTATACTTTATATGAAGGGATAGTTCTAATTGATATGAAACAAATAGGAATAGAATAGAAATAATCTGGCCATATTATATTATACTTTTGACATCATGTTGCAGGCCGAAAGGAAGGGGCTGAGGACCGGAAATGGCCCCCAGGTCATCAGTTTGAGATCCCTGGTGTATATGTGTATGTTGTCAGATCCTTGGTCAGCCTAAAGTACATGTACAGAAGTGCTTATAGGGAGTTGATCCTTTTTAAGTGAGTAATGGAGCCAAGCAGAGACATGTCTGGAGACTTTAAGTGCACTGATAGTCAGGCTGTGCTTTCGCCAGTAGCCCGGGTCAGGAGACGGAACCTAGTGCATGATATATTTCTGTGAAGCACCTCATGAATCCTTCATCAGTGTGTTTGAACATTGATCAGATTGAGTTTTAGCCCGAAGGCTGGACTTGAGTGAGTAAGTAGAAAATCCACAATCTCACATGAGAGTGTGCTACGGGGCGATACAAGAACATCCATAAGACAAAAGAAGTTTAAAAAAAGGACAAACTGCCTAGGCTAACTTTCTACTAATGCAGTAAATTTACTTCAAAAATAAACTGCTTTGCTTTATCTCAATTTGTTCTGCAGCTCTAAAATGTACACTTGGAACAATTGAACAGATTTTCAAAGGTTCTGTTGTACAGTAACTGCTGTTGGATCTGACTGCTGTAACTGCTGCTTCTTAGATTCAAAATGTGGCTGCCAGTGAGGTGGTAAACACCTACTCCAAGTGACTCATCAGAAAGCATCAGAGGCTTTGTGGACTAATTCAGATAAATCCAGTCACACTGAAAGACCAGGGCTGCATGTTGCACATCAGCTTCACATCTGCTACACTGATGATAATTGTGTCTGAAATATTATGCTTGAGAAATATATAATAATATTGGGTGACTGGATGTGTTAGATCATAACATAGGTTAACCATGAACATAAAGTCATTAACACTGGGAGCACAGGTGGGTTTAGAAACCTTTGAGTGAGGGGTTCTTGTATGAAACTGTATCAATAAATATATGTTGTTTGTAACTGTAAATGGCCTACAGTTATGGAAGGATTATGAGACAATGGGCTATTGTCTGTGTGCTGGTGAACACCATGTAACACCTGTGTTTACAAATATGATCTTGGACTGTTACATTGAAACATTTTTAACTCGTCTGATCGTACCTTTCCATTGAATTTGTATGCAATAGATCGATGGATAGATAGATACTTTATTTATCCCGAGGGAAATTCATTTGTGCCTCCTCTAAAATGGGTCTTCCTTTCTGTCTGAAAGCAACATTATAAATTAGGCTGAGAACAGGTGTTTGTGTTATAATTTGAAAAAGATGTTCACATTTCTAAAATGCAGCAGAGTAGTTTGCCAGATGGTTAGCTGTAGTAAAACAGCACATGGTTTGTAGTAAAGGAACTAAAACATGCAAAATCAGCTGTATATCACTTTATTGTTATACCTGATGCACTAGGAACCTATACCTACACTTTAACCATCTATTAATTAATTCCGGTGATAACCCTGAATGAGTGTCACTCCTTGGCTCTATTACAATGTGTCATTTTGTTTAGGTTTGCCTCAATATAAGAAAACCCCCTGGTCCTGTGTTTGATGAGAATGTTTCTCACTAAAATGTAAAATAATGTGAATCATTTGATCCCTGCCCCTGGCTTGTGTGCATTATAAGTGTTAAATGGGAATCTGGTATATCTAATACACCTTTATGTTGTAAGAAGTAATATGTTAATTAGAATGTCTTCCACTAACTGCTGTGCCAACACTTGGGACTAGCTGCTGCTCTTTGTTCACAGATTGATTTGGAATTTGTCACTATTGCTATCTATTTGGTGGAAATAAAAGCTGTTGACATATTCCAGGTTAGGCGCAGTGGTAGCTTTTGTCTAAACAGGTGCAGTGATTCATTCTGCCTTCCCTTCTCTCTGCGGTGCTTCTGCATGGAGACTCTCCCACTGTGACTGTTTAATTAGTCACCAATGTCTGTGTCAGTGTTTCAGTGCTGGGCTGCTTGACTCCCTCTGTGACAAACTGTTGCCAAAGAAACACATCCACAGCGAGCTCAGATCCACTGATGCCGAGGGGCGGCTTGAAGAGTTCAGGGGGTGATTGAATTGTTTACAGCTCTGCTCTCTTTTTCAGTTTTCTGTTGGGAAATATAGCATCATTTATGTCTGCTTGGCTTTTCCTTTGGCATAAATCTGAAATGACTAATGGTACATGGTGGCTCCTTGCCTCCAAACAACACTGTGAATATCAAAAGGATTGATCAAAGACTTTATTAGCTACACCACTCCAAACTAACACCCTCACTAAGATTTCTTTGTACTGTGTATATATAAAGAATCTGACATTTCAAGGCTTGGTTCCTTCTTTTTTTTTTTTTTTTCATGGTGTGCTTATTTTTTGCTGACATGTTTTTTCTTCAGTCCATCAAAACTCTGGAGATTCTTTTAGCTCAGCTTATGCCTACTGGCAGATTGTATCTTCACAGAATCCCAAATTTACAGTTGATGCACAGCCAATATATAGAGATGATGAAACACAAAGTTATTGCATTGATTGGAGAGTTCACAATTAAAAATTAAGATTCTTATATTTTTTTTTGCCCCCACTGTTTGATATATTGCTCATTTGGGGATGGTTCACTTGAATGCAAATCTTTGAATGCAATGTAATATTAATTAAATAAATTTGAGACAGATTAAGTCACTGAAAAAGAAACTTATGGCACCAACTATACCAGGATTCATATTCTCCATAGCTCAAAGCTTAAAAGGAAATGCCACAGCATCAGTTCTCTGGCACAACTTTAAGCAGTTGTGACTTCTCTCACACAGATTTGCTGACTCCAGTGCCACCCAGAGGTCTTAATGCAGCTGTAACTCTGGCACACTTTGATAATACCTCTCTAACCTTGACGGCCCTCTTCGATCAAGGCTGTGATGTTTGTGTACTGTCTCCTCTAAAGAGTTATTTTTCTGCTCAGATATGAATATCCCTCTAAACACACCCCTCATCCTCTTCTTTACATTCTCTGTCTTTTCATCCTTCTCCACCTCTTCATTTAGCCGTCATGTTGACCTTGATTGTGTGGAGCGATCACGCCTGATCATCAAGGCTCCATGTCTGACTTCTAAAAAAGGATAAACCTGAAGATTCAATAATCTCCTAAATCAATCTCGTTAACATCATTAATCTTGAATTGTCATCTCACTTTTCTCTCTACTTTCTTTCCACCCTTTGTCTCTTTCTCTTTCTCTCTCAGGTCTACATCCCCTGCAGAACAGCTATTGTCCTGGCCAACGAGGAGATAGATTACTGTTATTAGAGGATGATTGTCTCCACAGAGACCAGGATCGAGAATGGATTCCAACCTCAAACTGAGTGTTAACAATCACCTTCATCTTAAAATGTCAACCCTGCACAGAACCCAAACCCACTTTTTGTGTTCAAGTCTTTTTCTAAATGGGAAAAAAAAGCATTGTGAGCTTGTGTGCTTTCAAACACCATCTGCAACCTTAGATGCTGTGTAACCCCATTTACTACAGATTGCTCCATTTGGGAAGCGTCCAACCTAACCAGCAGCTAGATGCTAAAACTTAAAACCCTGCCGAGTCCATCCACCACTAGCCAGCAGCCATTTATAGGCTCTGTTGAATTTGGCGTGTCATCTGAAACACATGACCAGACACTGTGGCAATACTGGGAAGCAATACTGCTAGCATTCAAACATAATAAAAGCTCAGAGTTGGAATAATTCAGAATGTAATGTATGTTGGAATACATTCTAAGTGGTTTGATTATTTTGTATTTAAATACAAATAATGTTACGGTTTCAAAGACGCAAAAAGATTTACAGTATTACCAGCACTTCTTAATCTCAACATACATGTATTCAATCATTGGTGATCCATTTTTGTTAATTTGCATTGTGGGACTTTGTACGTGTAAAAATATTGTAATTTGCACAAAATAATAGGCTGCTTTGAATTATTATACTTTTAATGGGTATCTAAAACAGTTGTGTTGTAATGTTTGAATTTATGCAGCTACTGGGAGCATCTATGTGGTTATTTATGGCCCTGTTATTAAGCCAGTAATTTGCCGCTAAAGTAAAGTGATAAAATCACCTAATTTGTATTGTCCACAGGTTGTTGCATAATGCCCGAGTAACATTTTTAGCTAAATTACACAGTTTTATTTCCAATTTGCAAAATGTAATGTATAGTTTTGTCCTACAGTAGATCAAATTAAAGTAATTTAGGTTGTGAACTTCACTAAACTATTTACACTGATGATCAAGAAATCATTTTGTGCAGAAGAAGACAATTTTACAGGTACAGTGTAACTCACACACCTACTTCAAGATATGTAGTAGTAGTAGTAATATGATAGTATGATTTATGTGCACCATGTTCATTAGGCAATGTAGCATTCCCCTGGGATTAATGCAGGTGTTCCAGGAAAACACAGAAACAACCTACATTCACAAAGAAAAGACATGTGCCTCTTCCAATTAGCTCTGACTTTTGTGACGTTTGTCAACCCACTTGATGATTGAACATCTCAAAGAACAGCTCCAATCCTCATCCTGTCTTCCCTAGCTTTCATGTGAGAAGGTTATTGATCAGCTAAAATGTGTATGAACTGAGGAACATCACTGATAGGTGACTGTTTTTGTGACTGCTGAATTCACTAACTCAGGTAACGTGTCATTAAAATGGTCTTTCACACAAGAGGTTTCATCTTTTGAGGGAATATTTTGCAAATGACTGGGATAATTTAGTTTCCCACCTTTATTTTCTTTTGGTTTCAGTCCTCCTCCTAAGGGTCCTCTTTGCCATATAAATAGATGTGTTTTGGATAATTTTCAGTGTTCTATGCATGTTATATCAAAGCAGTGCTGTTGTAAGCGAAACAAGAGCTGATTTTGGGCATTCCAGATAAAAGCTAATGCCTTGATTTACTGCCATGGACACTAACATTCTGTGATCCACACCTACTGCATTAGTACAGATTCTCAGCCATTTAAGCGTTGCATTGTAGCATATGGCAGGTTTTGATCTGCTTCCACTGCAGCTGAAGAAAACAAATTTATATTCAGGACCATCTTCTTGTGTTTAGCCAAAAGTATCATTAACATGTCATTTATTTTTTTATAACACCAAAGTATTAAAAAGATGCCTGTCTCCACCTCTCCAAAAGCACAGAGAGGATCACTCTGCATACATTTAAAGCAACGAGGCTGTGAGACAGAAGTGGAGTGTTTAATCATCATCCTTCATCTGACCCAGTGTCATTGTCATTTTACCACTGCCAAAATGAATTGTCTGCATTTGTTCTCAAAAGTAGAATTGATGTCTGATACACAGTAACTATTGCAGCATATTTCTTTCATTATTACTAATGATAATAAATCAGCGCCCGTCAAGCCAAAAGAAAAATGTGGATGAACTGGATGTGCAGTCTGACTACTGATTCTTTCCCATCGCACACTTACAGAAATGTAGGTGCTTCAGCCTTCTCCAGAGTACATTGTGATGGTACTCTGTCACCAAGTACTTGATACAAAAACTGTTCTTTTTGGTCTTGATAGTCACTCTAATTTTGGATGTTGTTTTCAGTTGTCACTTGCCTGTCAATTTCATACATCAGTGGAATTCCTATATATGTACAAAGCTGCTGTCTCAGTTACCTAAAAAAATTTAATTAAATCGACATTCTAACCTTTAGTGTTACCTATTTTCTTCTTTTTTTAATTTCTTTTTTGGAATTTTGCGTTACTTGGATAATGACATGAAAAGGCGAGGAGAGAGGGGATGACATGCAGCAAAGGGCCTAGGGGTGGATTTGAACCCTGATCGCTGCAGTACAGACCCAGCCTTGAAAAAGGTGGTTCATCCTCTACCTGGTGAGCTGCCAGTGCAGATCATTTTTTAAAATCACATTTAAATTATTTCTTGGTGTTTGTTTCATTTGGACTCTATTTTAGATAAGTCAAGTCCTCAAAGTAGTTTCGGATTTAATTTAATTTAATTCAGATTTTGTATGTATATATGTATGTATTTTGTATAGTATGTCAATTACTTTTTGCCTATAAGAGTAGTGCTAAGGCCCATCATACACGGTTCCTGTGTGTAGTAGACCACTGGACCAGACATCAAAAAGTAAAGCCCCCAAATCTTTGGGATGAAAAAAGAAGGAATCTTTTTTGTGCTCAGCACTGAAACATAAAGTTGCAGTTTCCATTTGGTGACCAGGGAAGCTGTGAAATGTTGTTACAGGACTATACAGAGCAATCGCCTCAGTGATTCCCACAACATGATGTAAGGGGGATGAAAGACAACTCATCACACCCTAATACTTATATTTCCCCTTTTCCTAGGTATCTACACTTTGTTCTACTTATACCACATTATGTGTCTTTGTGCGCTGGCATCGATACAAGCAGCTTCTTAATAGCAGCTGCACCATGAAAAGCAGTTTGAGAAGATCACAATGTAGCTTTTGTTGAGGCTGTTTCACAAAGGTGCTGATTCAATTCTGTGGTAATTTTTGAGGTTCAGTTTGCGTGGTGTGCAGAAGCAATATTTTTTCTTTTCTTTTATCTCTGGTTTTTCTGTTTCTGGTTCCCACCTTGTAAACATTTTCAACTGGTCCCTGGGTGTCTAGGTGGCGCACTTGGTTTAGGTGCATATTTCTGAAGCTGCATGACATGTCTCATGAAAACGTTTTAGGCTCTCAAATATTTTCTAAAGGCAAATGCCAAAATAACTAATTCCCCTTCTCCCAAAAAAAACCCTCTGGCCTTTTCCAAAACTGGCCCTCAGTTACTTTTTAATATTCATGTGCTACCACAGGGGATGGCTTGTACAATATAATGCAGTCCAATCCAATTACCATGCAAATTTGTTCACACAGTGGACAAAATAACAGAAACACTTTACAGCATAATGCATCACTACCGCAAACTGTGGTCTCAGAACTCACCTGGGTTAAATCAACACTTTCTGAAACAATTGCAGCAAAGACTGAACTGCAAACTGAAGGCTGCACTAAATTATACACATGTTTATGTTGGTGAGTGCAACCCCTGTAGATATGACTGCCATGAAATATACAGGACATATATGTTGGGTTGTACATGAGAAAATTTCATTAGTAACCCTGAAAACACATTGTGTGTTCTGTGTTGTAACAGTTTGTCTTTTTTGTGTTCCTCATGGACTCAAAAGGATAGAAATGCAATGCCTAGTGGGAAGATCCCAGAGAATATTGTCAGAGTCAGAATTGGGGTATGACATGCACAAAGAGAATGTTTTCAGAGTCTGACCCGTGAGACTGCACAAGTCAGGATGGGATCTCACCATTCATGCTGCTGCAGCTCTAATACAAAATGCCTGCAATGATAATTCTGTTACTTTAGCTTTCCAGATAAATGCTTGCTTAGGCTAAGACAAGCATTTTAAAAATTAAAGATGTGAAGTAAATTATATTAATCAGTGAAATGTTTGTGAGGTCATGTGGCATTTTTTCTACTGGCAAAGTAGGAAAACAACCAATGAATAATTTCAGGAACAAACGCAGAGTCCCATTTAGTATTAGAAGCCTATAAAGAAACAAGATTTGAAAATGCCATCATAAAAGGGATCCACACTGTCTATGGGGTCGGATGACTTCTTTTTCTTTGTGTATGATATTGGAGAGTTCAAACAACAGAGAAATAACAAAAACATCTGTTTGAACAGAATGTGCCCCCAGAAGGTTTCTGCAAGGCAATTCTGTAAAAAAAAAAAAACACACATTTGATTAAACATAAACAAACATAAATGTTAAGAGGTAAACTTTCTATAACCCATGCTGAGTCAGTATCCTGCAAATTCAAGAAAACATGTACTCTTCTAATGTACTCTTTGTTGTTTTTGAAGAGAGGTAGCCTGTGGTTTTCAGGAACAGTCAACTCCTGCAGGTTTGAATGCCTGGGGCACACAGTATGGAACCTGATCCTTTTTAGACCAGCTAGTTGTATTTGTCTAGGATGGTGAGACACTGTCCTCCATAACCATAGCCTCCTATATACTGTAAAGGCTTAATTTCTAAGAGTTCGAGAGGCTGCAGGAGTTACATACGGCGGAACCCTCCAGTATTGCCTTGAATGATTCTCTCCTCAGATCTGACCTTTAGGAGTGTGTACATAAGGAAACTGCTTTCTCACTTTTCCGACGATAACATTTTGAACTAAGGCAGGGGAGATGTTGGCACACAGGATAAGGCATATTGAGAACAAGACAGTGTATCCAAACGGTTTGAGGTGAGAATGGGTCATTTCAGTATCATGTAGCCAGTATAAATCATTTCAAAGAACTTTATTCTAAACTGTATACTACTGACAATACAGCAAGTACAGCCAAACTAGAAGCCTTCTTCAGGGGCCTTGATCTCTCCTTGATTAACATAGTTGATAACTTTAACCGAATTAGAAACTGCAATAATGAAAATATCAACACTGAAAACCTCAATTTCAAATTAAACACGATTAAGACAATATATTGTTATCAACCCTACCGGCAGTATTATTATATACAGTGGATACTAAGATATCTGGCTATTGGATCAACTTCATTAAGAGTGAAGGTCATTCCTCTGAACCCAGGCACTTCTTTCATATGGAAATTTAATGGAATTAAATATTTCTTGATCAGAACATGACTTACGCCTTATAAAGGCATCCTCCTTGCAAGGTACAGTGGCCAATATTCGCCTGCACCTAATGCCTACTGCCCTGCCCAACATGCATGGGAACTGGATCTGATTTCCTGCCTGACTACTATAGCCTGGGGAAATGTTTACAAATCTGTAAATGAAGTCCCCTAAATGTGTAAGATAAAGTGATTCAGCATAAAGTTTTGTGCAGTTTTCTGCTTTTATACAGATTTCAGCAGCTGCAACATTTTGTCAAAACATCTCCACCTATAACAATATAAGATACAAGATGCACATAAGATAGCTTTGGAGTAACATTTGTGCCTTTCATTGCATTGGAGACACAGAGCTAAGCATTGCTTTCTTTTTTTTTTAAATAAATATGCAGTGATATGGAAAAACCCAGAAGGTCATTTAACAACAGTTACAGCTGTTCTGAAATTATTAACACAATCCCCAAAGACTCTTCTAACCATCTGGATAAAAAAAAAATCCATCCGCTGTGGAATTACTATCCAGGTAGGAAGAATGATATATCTCCTTGCTTATTTTGTGTGACACAGGAAAAATATAAAAATGTTATTCTATATAAAATATAAAGAATGCAAAAATAATGCAATATAGACCCAAATATACCTGACAATATAACATTGTTTGTTGTAGAAACTGTGCACCAACAAATGTCATTCCTTGCTACCTCTCTGTTTGGATTAACAGTACATGTGCAAGTTGGGAAACACGTTGTATGTTATCAGTGACCTGATGGTAATACAGGAGAGAACAGAGGCTTCCAATTACCAAAGATTCCTGAGTCAAAGTGATTGTAATATTTACTTACTGTGATTCAGAAAGATCATTGGTACCTAAATCAGGCTGTCTTAGTGCAGCACTCTGGCATTAGCAAAGGAGAGGGGAAGAGCAGTGTGTGTGCCCTGTTGTTAGGCCCAGCGGAGAGCAGAGTGTGCTGATATTCTTTTTGTCATTATAGTTTTTCATCTTTATGTGTAACACTGGCAGTGACTGGTTCCAATGCAGATCTTTGGGACCCAAAGTGCCACTTGTTTTCTATTGTACAAGGTAATTAAAATCATTCTCCTGGTATCTTGTGTCTATTCAGTCCTCATTAAAAAGCTTGAATGAAGTACCCAAGCCCCCAAGAACCAGAGCTGGGAAACACTAGTAGAAATGACATTAATACAGAATCCACCGCCGGTTCTCATTTATGAAAGTGGTTAAGATAAGTTCATGGGGTGGGAAACGATCCACCAGAAGTGTACAGATACTGCATCTAAAAGGAGCAAAGCGCAGGGATATCCGGTGAAGTGTGTGTGAGTATTTCTTATGAAGTACTTCCTTCTCTGAGTCCCACAGGAACTGTGTTACGTTTAAAATCACCTTAGAGCACTGACTTCCATTTATCATGGCCATCCACAATGGCCCACAGGGTGAGCAGCAGTCAACCATAAATCTAGAAATGTCAGATAAGGCAGCATATACAGCACTTCTCTTACCAATTATGCCTTAGTAAGCTCTGATACATGTACTAGTTATACTTAAAGCAAAGACGGGATCATGAAGCAGTCTGAATATACAACTGATCTTAACAACCTCTGCAGCTATCAGCAGGGCCTAAAAATGACTGATCAGGTCGGCAGAAATCTTTCCATCCCAGGCTGGATGGAGCTTAGTTATGACTGGTGTGGCTTCCCTTTTTGTATGCTGAGCAGTCTGTAAGGATTCCCTTGCATTGATAATCCCAAATCCTGGTGTAGATCTTGGGCCTATATATAAAGAATGAAGCTGAAATAAGAGGATCACGACATGGTATCGCTTCAAGGCAACAGCAGGAAACACGGAGAATGGAGCGTAACAGCTTTGTTTCCCCACTGAGACTTCTGCAACTTCACAAGTGATCCATAATCATCTTGTGTTGATGTGACAGTTTGTATACAACAGGGGAAGGAAGGAGGACCAGAAGGGAAAGATGTCAACATAAGCATACTGATACAGAGCCAAGTTGCATATTAAGACATGACAGGGTATGTTGGTGTGTGTGATCACCATCCAGGAAGCCTCCAAGTCTCCAGGAGGACCTGGACGGGCGTTTGCTTGTAAAGAGCGCCATCTGGTGGCACGTAGAATCTGACTTCTCGACTTCTTTGGGTGGAGCAAGAGACCACCAAGAGACAGTGGCTTGTGTGTGGGCAGGACCTCCGTATGCATGAGCCCACAAACCGTCCAGCTTGTGGCTGACAAAGAAAGCGTTTCATGCGTTTCATTGTGAGGAGCGAAGCCGCATTACTGAAAGTTGTTGGTTTTTTTTTTTTGTGATTGGTGTTTTCTTAAAGAAGGTAAGACGTTAAAAGTTTAATTATTTGACACTTTCTATGGAATTAAAGTTGTTTCTAAACACAAAAAGGCATAGTTGTTAGGCTGTAGACTATTTGATAAAGTGGGGGGGAGAGGTAAGAGCGTCTGAGACAGGCTGCAGGACAGTAGTCGATCAGGAAGCGGTGCACATGGTCTGAAAGGAGGAAGGGACCATCCGGCTGATGCAATGGCCCCTGGTCACTACTGTGGACTACTTTTCTCATTATACAGGCGGGCTTTTGGAAAAGAAAGGTCTTCACTGGCGATACTCCGTTAAGAAGTGAATTCCATGTAGTTTTGTGTGTGACAGAGCCTGAGCTGGGAGCATGAGGAGACACATTGCCTTTTATAGCGCCACATTCACCAGCGTCCTTTGCACCAGGGGTGTGGGTGAACTCATTTGAACGCACACTGTAAATAAATGCAACAAATCAATTCTTGCACATTTTTTCCCTATGAGTTTAATGAAGTTGCTTAGGCTTTAGATTGTGAAGAACAGGCAGGATGTTAGTGTGGATAGATAATGAGGAGTTGGATTGAGTTTATGTTTTGCACCCTGGAAATGCATTTGATCAGTGAAGCTGTGTGTGTTGGGATATTCACCTAAATTGAATGAATAGCTCAAAATATCTTTTTGATACCTCTTTTATGCAGGCCTACGGTTGCATAGATCTTGGCCCAGTTTGGTATGTTTTAATCAGCTCACAAACTCTGTATGTATGAAGTTGAGCATGAATCATGTAGAGTTAAAAAATAAACTACCGTAAATCAGATGAATTGGTTCAGTTTGGGTTGTACCTTCTTTTCAAGTCTGTCACAAAACAGCACTCACATGCCCATGTTGACAAGTTTTATTGGCCGCTGTGGTCATCCCTACTGTCCTAATGCAAGACAGGGACATCTACAGTTTATCCAAAGCTAATACAAAGCGCCACAAGGCTGAGCTAGTCAAAGCAAATGGGTGTCTTCCAAAGCTGCTGTGTTTTTAGTACAACATTCCTTATTAATGCTGCCATAGCTCAGCAAGCAAGCACTACATAAAGAAACAAAAAGGAAACTCCCTAAATATACCAGGTTTACTGAAGCAGACTTAGAAACACTATTTCATCTAAGAACCTAGTGCCATGATTAATTGCTGACCGTGATAAAACATACCACTTTCTACATCTGATGTAAAATTCCACACCACAAGTTTGATTTCCCAAAGGTCATTACTGCATCTAGTCAGTCCATCATTAAAGAATGGGGCAAAATCTCAAATTTAGCCAATTAGGCATGAAAATTGCTTTAAAAAATATTTAAATTAATCTAAACAAGCGCTGGAGCATTTTAAATACACAGTCCAATAAGTGTGAATTTATTCAATTTTTAGATGGTGTTTTGGAGCAGTATTACTGGCACAGTGCCAGTCAGTGGTCAGACACAGACAGACTGTTCCTGCATTAACTATTGGAACGCTTGTGTGTGAAGATATAAAGTTAGAGTAGATTATTCTGTACTTGGTGTCACTGTGAGCTATAACAGGGGGACTGTCTGTGACCCTGCCCCCCCGGCTTTAAACTTGGGTGTCAACGTCTCACAATCATGCATACATCATGAATGATACTATTACTGGCTGTACTGTGTGTGTGTGTTTGTGTTTGTGTTTGAGTGCTATAAGGACTGAAATAGATATTTAGTACTAATGTTTAGTATATAGATGGTTCCTAGCCAATCACTTCAATAACATTGCAATGTCCCAAAATGTGTTCAGCACACACGCTTCATCAACGGCTGCATCATGAAAAGGATCCCTTTAGTTTTACATCTGAGTTGTCATTTCAAATTTGTTCCTGTTTCCTTCCACAAGAGCAAGAAACACTACGCGTGTGCTCACAACCCGCTTTGAAGCTTCCTTCCGTATGAACATCTCAGCTAACCTCAGAAAACACTGAAAGCTGTTGTTCCTTTTCTAATGGATGGATGTTGTTGTTACATTCTGCCCTTGGTAGCTACAAGGTCGATGCGGCTCTGGAGGTGTCACTAAGGCTTAAATCCCCAGAAAGGAAAGTTTGTTTGGCTTGTGTAAGCTGTCTGTTTTATGATCGCCCTCACATGGCACTTCGTTTGCTCCATCCCCAGTTACACCACAACAGCAGGTGGGCTTTTTGTAGTGCTGCTAAATACCCTTCACATGCCAAGTGGGAGCTCAGCGTTCCCTGAATTGGCTCTCTGCCGTTGTCTTCTTTTAAATTCATGCAGGGAAAATTGTAATTAAAGACAGTCAGCAGCATTTCTCAACTTAGTGTTAGAAGTATGTCAAGTTGCATACTCAAATTCTTAGATAATTTGTTTTTCCGGACACAGGTGGTTCTGCAGGTGTCTGTCAGTTGTATGTAATGGATCTGACATTTGCAGCTTTATTTGAATACAGCCAACACAGATAGGCAGGTTCAGTTTTAAACCTTGACTGAGTGCAAGGCAACTATATTTGAATTTTCTTTTTTATTTAAATGTTATCTTTAACATTTATTTATTTGGAAATGTAATCACTGGAAATGTCATTTCTTTGTAGCCCCATAGAAACCTTTGTAATACTATATCTAAAATACCAATATCAACTGTATGCCAGCCCCACGGATATCTGAGCCAATTGGCTTGTAGTTTTAGGTTATTCTGATTTAATCAGAATTTTGGTCTGATCTCGTATATATTATATCAAAGTTCTGTTTGATTTCTTATCGTGACTCTGCTGTCTTCTCTGTCACAGTCACAGCTAACCTAAAAGACATCTGAAGGAGCAAAAGTATTTTCCCTCAGGCCAAATAGTGAAGAGCATGGGACTGACTGCTATTCCAAATTCACCCACATGCCCCCTGTGTGTCACGAGCAGGTGTTGAGTTCAATGATTGGCTGAGAAGAGGGCAGGGCCCTGTCCTGCCCACCCTCCTTTTTTTAGCTCAGCCACTGCGTGTCATATCTCGTGCATGCTACAGTATGCCACTGCGGTGAGTTCTGAACCACTGGCTGTGCTTGCCCTTTTTGCCCGGGCTGCGATGTAACAAATGTTCTTGCTTGTGCAACATATAAGTACATATTGTTTCATGTTTCAGGTACACATTCGTTCACACTCATTCATCAGTGATGTTTTGGCTTCTGTGTGTTGGTCTAATCAAACTGTTGGCCCAATGAGTGAAAGCCTGGCTCCAATTATCCAGGTCATCATAACTTAGACAGACAACACAAAACTGTTTAGCAACAACTTTTGGCTCAGAGTAAGTTAAATGTTCTGCACACATCCTCACTTCATGATATGCAGCGGGAATACCCTTCTGTGTATATTCACAAAGCATCAAGTTATTTAAGCTTTTTTAATTGAATTCCTAATACGGGACACATTTCTGACCCTACGTCAGGTTATTTCTAAAATAACCATTTCCTTTGTAAGACCATAAAAGTGGCCAGGTCATATTGGTCCAGCCGTCTTGTATTCATGACTTAACTATAATAAGTAGAGCCTGCCAGAGTCACTCAGCTGGTCTTGCTCGTCGGGAATATAGCTGTCGTCACAGCTGCTCTGAGTGTCTTGAGCCCGAAGGGCATGTCATGTGTCACTGTTCTATTTGAGAGCTGGACACCTGAATGGTTTGTACACTAAGAGGTGTCTGTGTCACGTGTCAAACCAGCACTTGTAAACGTCTCTCTCAGTTCTATTCAACTGAACCTATCTGGAAATTAGTCTGCTGCTGCACTCTGGAGCAAGCGGTCGAGCAGATTTATAAACCGGAAAAAAGAGTAACTGTGTCAGTGAAGATAGAAGATCCTGTTTTGTATTGTGTTGTGAAAGTGAGTACTTGTTTGTCCGCATTGTCTTGCTTGTCCGCTTTATCCATATCAGTCTCGCTTGTGCTGTGTTAGAAGAAGCTTTGAAATTGGATCTTGGATTGTCAGGATTCTGCTCTGGCAAATACAATATTTACAAAGGATTAAAATGTAATTGTTTGCATAGTTACGAATCTTTTCTGCCTCTGATTGGTTGTTTTCATTCAGACACAGTGGAGTCTTGCGAATGCTATTAGGAGCACCATGAGGAGCCAGAGGCAGATGATTATTTTCCACAGATCATCTGTCTCATATACTCTGTCAGGATATAGTGACAGAAAGTTATATTTTTATAAACGTTACCTACTGCAGATTTAAAGTATGATGCAAATATTAATAGATCATACTTTCTTTTCATGTAGATTCAAATATAATGCATAATCATAAGCTGTGTTAGACCTCTTCAGACTAAATGCAGATGCGTCACTATTAACATTTGACTGTGTGCATTGATTGTCCTTATATACACCATTCGTAACGTAACGTCATGTGACACTGTCTTGTGACACTGTTCAAATGCTCATAGCATGTCTTCTATCACTGAACCGAAAATGCAAGTAGATTGAGGTATTTGGGAGTGTCTTTGTTCCAAAAAAATAATTTATACATCAGCACTTAATTATTTGTTTGCTATTATGTCTTCAAATCAAAGTTAGAAGCACAAAGAGTTTCCTGATATGAGACTGGAACAGCACTATGGTCTTTTGTCTGTTTACAAATGCATAGTAAGCTTATTGCTCTGGCGCTCCTGTCTTTCTTTGTCGACAGGTAAATCATCTCCTGTAGAACTTTCGGTGCAGGGTGCCAGCCAGGATGATTCTGGCGACAATAAAGGGCATTGGGAAGCAGCTCCTGCGGGTGAAGGTTGTAGACTGTAACGCAGAAGACTCCCACTTCTCTCGATGCCTCAACACGTTTGACCTGGTGGCCCTGGGGGTCGGCAGTACGCTGGGCGCTGGAGTCTACGTGCTGGCTGGAGCTGTAGCCCGAGACAGTTCTGGACCCGCCATCGTGCTCTCCTTCCTCATCGCTGCCCTCGCCTCAGTGCTGGCTGGCCTGTGCTACGCCGAGTTCGGAGCCCGTGTACCCAAAACTGGCTCGGCTTACCTCTATAGCTATGTGACAGTTGGTGAACTGTGGGCCTTCATCACAGGGTGGAACCTCATCCTCTCTTATATCATTGGTGAGACACTCTAAATATGGAAGGAAAGGAGTTGTCTGCTATACTAGATATTGTTCAGTTTCCATGAATACTTTGCTCCGCACAGGAACTTCAAGTGTGGCCAGAGCATGGAGCGCAACCTTTGATGAGCTGATTGGAAAGCACATTGAGGAATTCTGCAGACAACACATGACCATGAAAGCACCGGGTATCCTGGCAGAGTATCCAGACGTATTTGCTGTCTTCATCATAATCATTCTGACAGGTGAGGAGCAGCTCGGAAATATCTTGCTTGTATTTCATTTCGTTTTCTCCCCTTCTTTCATAGGCTTTCAACTTTCATAGTGTCTTTTTTTTCCGCTGCTTGCAGGACTTCTCGCATTTGGAGTGAAAGAGTCAGCCATGGTAAATAAAGTATTCACCTGCATCAATGTACTTGTGCTGCTGTTTGTGATCATCTCTGGCCTGGTCAAAGGAGACCGGAAAAACTGGAACTTGAACCCTGATGAAATCCTCAATGCCACCAGCAACTCTAGCCTTAAGTGGGTGAAATGAAAAGCTTATTCCTAAAATGCATAATTTGGCAAATTACATGCCAGAGTTGGGTTTTAAATAAGCAAATGTTTTCTTTCTTGTTACTTCCAGTGTGTCTCTTCCCCTACCATCAAAAGAGAGTCTTGGTGAAGGCGGCTTCATGCCGTTTGGCTTTTCTGGAGTCCTCTCTGGTGCTGCCACCTGTTTTTATGCCTTTGTAGGGTTCGACTGTATCGCTACCACAGGTGAGAAGGAATACATTCAATTGATAATCAACACACACGACCCCTTCCTTCTGACATCTCCAGTTATGTTTCCTCCGCAGGAGAAGAAGTGAAGAATCCTCAGAGGGCCATTCCTATTGGAATTGTGGCCTCGCTCCTTATCTGCTTCGTGGCGTACTTTGGCGTGTCCGCTGCCCTCACTGTGATGATGCCTTACTACCTGCTGGACAAGAACAGCCCACTCCCAGTGGCCTTTAAATATGTGGGCTGGGATGGAGCCAATTATGCGGTGGCCATTGGCTCTTTATGTGCCTTGTCAACCAGGTAAGCTCCTACCACCTCTCATCATGAGAAGTCGGCAGACAGTATTTACTATAGATTATATAACCTAAGTCAATTTGCAGTGCTTGACCTTGTATGTGGACACCCCGTCCAATTCTTATGTCATTTTGGTCTGGGGCTGTTTTAATGGTTTGGGCTAATGCTACAAGAAATAATATATTAGACAGCAACTGTTCTTTTTACTTTGTGGCAACAGTCCCGTTATATTTTCTAACTGTGTGCATTCACTTGCACGGCATGCTTATTTTGTCTCTCTCCCGTACTAGTTTACTAGGCTCCATGTTCCCAATGCCCAGAGTGATGTGGGCCATGGCAGAAGATGGCCTGCTCTTCAAATGTTTGGCTAAAATCAACCCACGAACCAAAACCCCTCTAACAGCTACCATAACATCCGGTGTTGTAGCAGGTGAGGTCGTGACCTAAACCTACTAACTAGTTGGGGTTCCTATAAGAACCCTGCAAGACACTCTTGGTGCACATGGCCTCAACACAAGCACTCAACCAAAGCCACGATTGGTCATAAAGCATGATAAAGTCCAGCAATTGTTTTTCAAATTTCTCCTTCTTCGGTTACTGCCGTGTACAAAGCTGACACAGCGACATCCTGAGTACAGCAACCTGTGTAGTTTTATCTTGGGCTGAGAATGGATGCAGTTGAGGCCTTGTGTGAAACCAGAGTTGACCAACTTTAAAAAGTTAAAAATCTTTGCCTCCTCCTCCTTCTTCCTTCATCTATGGCTTAGTCTCCTTGGCTCCATGTTTCCACTTCCACGCATTATCTTTGCTATGGCTCGCGATGGTCTGCTCTTCTCGTTTCTGGCACGTGTCAGCGAGAGGAAGACGCCCATCATCTCCACCTTGGTGTCAGGGCTTATGTCTGGTAGGTAGCTGAGATGAGGCCAAAAGCAACAGTGCCCTCTTGTGGAAGGAGGATGGTGGCAAGTTGTAAATAAATGGAGCTGTACAGTAATAGTAAATGATGTATTTATAGAATGAATTACATAAAAACATTATATTGCATTATATTGTGAATGTGCTTAGAAGAAGTGTGTTGTCTTGCTAATGTCTATTTTTCTCCTGCTTTCTCTTATTTTCCTCCAGCTGTGATGGCTTTCCTGTTTGACTTGAAGGACCTAGTTGACCTCATGTCCATTGGCACTTTGCTGGCCTATACTCTGGTGGCTGCGTGTGTGCTCGTCCTCAGGTAGTCCTCATCACTCACCATATCAAATCCTGACCACACTCTAGGGGATTACCAGCCTGAATAACAAACTTATTTATATGTACTGCAAAGGAAATCCCAGAGGCTAGTCAGACCAGTCAGTCCAGATGTGTGTGTGAGTGATACTCAACACACTCAGTTTGTATTTTATACTTGATGACTGATCTGAGCTGCCTCAATTATATCAAACATGTAGTGTTTTCAAACACTGGATCATGCTTCATGATGTGAGTAGCCACTGAGAGTTGTATTTTATGCGTTTCATATTTTTTATACATGTTAGATTACAGTAAGGAATCATCTTACATTTAGAGCATATTCACTGAAGAGAAACATCTGTTAAAGCTCTCATAATGAATGTGATGCAGTGTGTTTTTTAAACTTTGTTAGGCTTGAAGTTTCTTAATGTGTTTTTGACTGTTTTGCCGTCTGAAGGTACCAGCCAGAACACCCCAATATGGCCTATGAGATGGCCAACACTCAGGAAGAACCTGAAAATCCGGAGTCTTATAACGAGGGGAGCGTTGACATGTTACCACAACCAGAGGATCGCTTCACCATCAAGAATCTACTTTACCCTTCAAACACAGAGCCATCCCCTCTGTCCGGATTCGCCGTCAACATTTGCACCAGCATGCTTGGTGAGACGCATACAAAAATCTCAGAGAAAACTGGATGAAAGTCCCCGAATGATTCACCTGGTTGCTGATACAGAACATCATCTGACGCCCTATGTTTACTGTCTTCTATTTCCCTCCAGGTGTTTTGGTGTTTGTCTTCAGTGTTGTAGCCGTTCATGGAGGGCTGGCACCCTGGTCACTGTCTGTCCTCTCTGTTATCTTCTTGGTTTGTCTGATTCTCACTTTCATTGTGTGGAGACAGCCACAGAGCAAGACCAAGCTTGCCTTCAAGGTAGAGTGTGTTCTTTTACCAAACACTCCTCACACTGTTTCAGTCTCACGTACTGTATGACATTGTCTGTATCAGCCCAAGAAATACAAATTATTTGTACTTCACGTTATTGCAGACGTCCATAATCT